GAAAGCCAATGAATTCAAATGGATTCACACTTTAAGAACATTCGTACCTAATGGCATTAACGATAAGATGTAGTCCCGAGGGGTCCCCCACTTTATTGTTTACTCTATACTAATTTAAATGGCGCATGTAAATTTCATACAGATCGGCAGATAACTTTTCATGTTAGAACGTTCACAAGGTTCAATAAAGTAAAACAAGGGCCATAACTCTAGACGTAATAAACAGAAATTGCTGAAATTCAATAACCTTCTTCGTTTGACTAATTTAAATAATGCATATAAATTTCAGAAAGATCAGATGATAACTTTTCGTGTAATAGTATTCACAAGGTTCAACAAAGTAATACAAGGGCCATAACTCTAGACATGATAAACAGAAATTGCTGAAATTCAATAGGCTACTTCATCTCACTAAGTAAACCACATATATCAATTTTAAAACAATCAAATAATAACTTTTGGAGTTAGAGCATTCACAAGACCGACGAAGGACCACATTTCCATGTGGGCGTATAAAAATTTGAAGACAATTTCTGTAAGTAAAGTTTATATATAATCCACTGGAAATTTGACAAAATGAATTAAGAAGGGTCGGATGAGTATCTCATAAATATAATTTTTAGTGTAAATATAGTTGGGATATGAAAAAGAAATTCTGGTGTGTGTGTGGGTTGTGTGTGTGTGTGTGTGTGTGTTGGGGGGGTAAATACATGAGGTAAATATAGTGCCATGCACAGGTGTGAAGTAGTGTTTTGATATTCAATTTGTTACGGATATTTTAGAATCTAAATTCCTATTCATTTTAAAACATAAGTTTGGTACGTATTTGATATTTGGCGGAATTCACATGTATTCAGAGAGTAGCAAAGCTGATTTGTTGACTTACAAGACCATAATCAACTCTCGATGGGTTATAAACTTACATTTCAAGTTTCAACAAAATCGGATAAATATTGTGACCTCTATAGGGTCCACAAACTTGATATACCATATTTTTACGCTATTTGAGAACGAAGGGCAGCCATTTTTTCTGTCAGTTTTGTGCCGATTTTCACGAAATTTGAGCTCAGTCGTCCTTAGGGTCTAACGGTGATATAATAATACGTTTTTTTAAATCGGTTAAAAATTATGACCTCTATGGGCTCCACAAGCTAAAAACGCACTTTTTTGTACAATCAGGGGCCATAACTCAGGAAGTTATGGTCCGATATTCGCGAATATCGAAAGGAACCGAGATCTTTGGGTTATAAACTTACATTTCAAGTTTCAACAAAATCGGATAAAAATTGTGACCTCTATAGGGTCCACAACCTTGATATACCATATTTTTTACGCTATTTGAGAACGAATGGTGGACATTTTGTCTGTCAGTTTTGGGCCGATTTTCACGAAATTCGACCTCAGCCGTCCTTAGGTGTAACGGTGATATATCAATACGTTTTTTTAAATCGGATAAAAATTATGACCTCTATAGGGTCCACAAGCTAAAAACGCGATTTTTCGTTCAATTAGTGACCATAATTCTGGAAGTTACGGTCCGATATGTGCGAATATCGAAAGGAACTACGATCTTTGGGTTATAAACTCACATTTCAAGTTTCAACAAAATCGGATAAAAATTGTGACCTCTAATAGGGTCTACAACCTTGATACACCATATTTTTTACGCTATTTGAGAACGAGGGGTGGCCATTTTCTCTGTCAGTTTTGGGTAGATTTTCACGAAATTCGACCTCAGCCGTCCTTAGGGTGTAACGGTGATATAATAATACGGTTTTTTAAATCGGATAAAAATTATGACCTCTATATAGAGTCCACAAGCTAAAAACGCATTTTTCATACAATCAAGGGCCATAATTCAGGAAGTTAAGGGCCGATATGCACGAATATCGAAAGGAACCGAGATCTTTGGGTTATAAACTTACATTTCAAGTTTAAACAAAATCGGATAAAAATTATGACCTCTATAGGGTCCACAACCTTGATACACCATATTTTTACGCTATTTGAGGACGAGGGGCGGCCATTTTCTCTGTCAGTTTTGGGTAGATTTTCACAAAATTCGAATGCAGCCGTCCTTAGGGTGTAACGGTGATTTAATAATACAGTTTTTTAAATCGGATAAAAATTATGACCTCTATTAGAGTCCACAAGCTAAAAACGCAATTTTTTGTACAATCAAGGGCCATAATTCAGGAAGTTACAGTCCGATATGCGCGAATATCGAAAGGAACCGAGATCTTTGGGTTATAAACGTACATTTCAAGTTTAAACAAAATCAGATAAAAATTGTGACCTCTATAACTATAAGGTCCACAACCTTGATATACCATATTTTTACGCTATTTGAGTACGAACAGCCGCCATTTTGTCTGTCAGTTTTGGGCCGATTTTCACGAAATTCAAACTCAGCCGTCCTTAGGGTTTAATGGTGATATAATATTACGTTTTTTTAAATCGGATAAAAATTATGACCTCTATAGGGTCCACAAGCTAAAAACGTAATTTTTCGTACAATCAGGTGCCATAATTCAGGAAGTTATGTTCCGATATGCGCGAATATCGAAAGGAACCGAGATCTTTGAGTTATAATCATACATTTCAAGTTTAAACCAAATCGGATAAAAATTGTGACCTATATAGTGTTCACAAGCTAAAAACGCGATTTTTAGTACAATCAGGGGCCATAATCCATGAAGTTACAGTCCGATACATGCCAATATCGAATAGAACTGAGATCTTAGGGTGATAAACCTATATTTCAAGTCTCATTGAAATCGAATAAAAGTTGTGACCTGTAGACTGTTCACAAACAATTGTGGACGGACGAAGAGGGGCAACGACAATATACGTCCACATGAAAATGTGGGCGTATAAAAATAAATGTTTAAAATGCAACTGTATAGAGAATAAAATGTAGTCATATTTTGATACGCAGATTTATATACAATATAATATCATGGGTTAAAGATACATTATGGGAGATTCGATAACGAGTTGCCAGTTCTCACTATACTGGTTAAAAACTAGATAATGTAAAGGCAATTTGCTGAAAATTTCATTCAAATTGATCCATTATGAACCAAGAACTAAGCAGTTGAAATTTCCGCCTAGCCTCGATCATCATTACTAAAGTCAGTATGATAAACAGCATAGTCTTGATTATCCATTTAATCGTTAAATCGTGAAGGAAAGTTATGCAGTAAATCGGCTCATAATCCACTAAAGATCGCAGGCTAGCATAACCATCTAGAGTTGATTATGGTCTGGATAGGTTAATTAATGTTTAATTAATAATTTAGGTAACATTTCAGGCCTAAAGAAAGACCTGCAAGAGACAGATTTAGCTCTTGCATAATGTATGTTTAAGTATGTATACTATCAGGTTAACATGACCTGTAGTAAGTATAGTAAATTTGAGTAATCAAATTGAAATTAAAGGGATCCTATTCAGTAGGATTTAAAAAAAAATTTTTTTGATATAATACAGGATTAATGTTGTCTCCGGATCAAAGTGGGAAGATGGCAGAGCTAAGGATAGAGTTGGCATGTTTCTACTTTGTTTCGTTAAAATTGTGTTTTTGTGTCGTTCGTAATTTTAAAGCTAATATAATTTTGAGACTCTTGTCCAAGTTTCATAATTATGGTTTTAGTCGATTAAAGACTAAATTGGGTAATTTAGCTTTTGAATAAAAGGTTAGATTGCTAAAAATTTGTGTTTTGTGTTGTTTCGTATTGGGGTTCAGCTAAGTAAAACTAACGTAGTGTTGAGACTCTAGTCCAAGTTTCAAAATTATGGTATTTTAACTTATGAATAAAAAGTTGTGTTATGTTTAAAATCCCATGTAATTAAATCTAGGGATGTAGGCAATAGTTTTCCTGGGAAAACTAAAATTAACGGCTCATTATATTGTGAGATTATCGCAAAGTCATTAATATGAGTTTAATACGAGGTTATGGTAAGAATAGGGCACTTTTTAAAAAATGTGTTGGATATACTGTAAATTTTATCCGTATATAATTTTATGTAACGTTAAATATATATTTGCTAAATGCTATTTTGTCATTAATTAAATTTTGCTTTAAATTGTTCATGCGAGGTGATTAAGAATGTGTAATTTGACATGTCACATTGTACTTTTATCTCTGGTTATAATAAACAATAGTCTTCACATTGTGTTAAATTTGACATGTGTGAAAGTCACGCGACTTCAGACGTTCAGTGATGAGTTGAATGAAATTATATGTGTAATTAAAAGCTACGTATATTCTGATTGTCATGTTTATAAAATATAGACTGGTGTTTTGGGGGAATTGGTGCGCAAACATTTCCTTCAACAAAGTTCTATTCTAAATAATGTTATGTCACACTAATGTTGCAATATGCTAAGGATCCGGGCTTGTTTTAACATTCGGTGGTGTACGATAACAGTACGAGTATATTTGTTTTGGTTCACATGTAAAAAAACTGAAGTTAAAATTGTAAATGATAAGGTCAAAAAGGTCACATTACTGACGGTGAAATATAAAATAATAATGTAATTGTTTGACGGAAATGTTATTTAAATTATTAATTAGACATTAACTAACTTATTCCGACCATAATCAACTCTCGATGTCAAAGCTAGCCTGTGATATTTATTGGATTATGATCCGATTTGCTGCTCAACTTTCATTCATGATTTAATCATGACATTGATAATCAAGACTCTGTTTTTTATCACCGACTTTAGTAATGATTGAGGTTAGGCCGAGATTTCAATCGCTTAATTCTCGGTTCATAGTGTATCAATTTGACTGAAATTTTCAGCTAATTGCCTTTACATTATCTAGTTTTTAACTATTATAGTGAGAACTGCCAACTCTTTATCTAATCTCCCATAATGTATCTTTTTAGTTGAAAACCAATTGACTATGGTACTATTTATAATCCAATCTGAATTATACCCTGAAAAATATGATCGATCATAAGGTAGGGTAGATCTAAAATAAAGTCTTACCCTTGCTTTTATTTCATCAGCTTCTTTCTGTTTTACCAGCCTTTCTTCCTCTTCAGCATCTCGCCTTTGCTATACACAACAATTAATACAATATTATTTCCTACATAGTATATTCTATCATGTATTGTTAATAGCCAAAAACCAGAGGTATATACTCTTCAAAAAAAGTAGGGGATATTCAGAAACAATACAAAACTGCGGAAATGCACTGCTGTTTTTATTAGAGTTTTATAACCAGTGTATGTTAATAACAGGCCAATTGCCTACACCTGAACATAAACAGTTAATATGGGCTTCTTATCTGACGGTCCCATTTCACTCGCAATGAGATACACCGCCAAAAGTGAAAATGGCCGTTTTTGACTTTTGTCTTAATAATGAGTAATTGCTCCACCAATCCTCAGACATTCAGCAATTCGTCGAGGCATGCTCCTAATCAACTGTCCAATCACGATTTGGGTCAATTGACCCACTCCTCTTGCAGTGCCACGGCCAATTCTTGCAGTGTTTTCGGTTGACGTCGACGAACACGTCTCCCGATAAAATTTAACGTAACTAAACTAAAGCAAAGATATGCTAAACAGTAAATCTTATGCACGAACCGATAGGAAAGCAAACATGGATAGAAAACCATCACGCGGCAGTTTTCATCAACCTTTCCTTGAAGTGTCAAATTTGACAATGAACCCCTCCCACATGTATGGCACTATTGCGTGTCGAATGTGCAGCTCAGTGGTTCTGTTGGGGTGATAGATAAGTTCTTCATCTCAAAGCATGTCAAATGTCCATGACTATTTATCATATCGCAACCTGCATAGGTATTTGCATTTCATTATCCCCTACTTTTTTTGAAGAGTATATTTTGTACTAATGAGTTAATTTTAGAAAATACAAACTTTTTCTTCAGCCTCTTGTCTCTGTTTAATGGCATCTTGTTTAGCTTTTTTCATGGCAATCTTTTTAGCTTTTTCGTCTTCTTTAAATTTGATTACTCTAGGATCACAGGCATATGCATTATCTAATGAAATAAAATAAAACAATGGTATTATCATCAAGCACGACATATACTTTTTTATTCCATTTCTAGTTACGTTCCATATCTTGGACAGAATGTAGCTTTTTATCTAGCACTGTGTATGAAAGTCTCTTATTATGTACTGTTCAAAGCTACCATAGTTATTATTGAGACTTGCCAACAAAATAAAGTGAAAATGCATGAAAATTAATTAACTCTTTCAGTTTCCAGATCAGTTTTAGCAGTTCAATGCTAAAGTGCCATACTAGATTAGAAGAAGAGTTATTGTGTTCCAAAGTCTGTGACAGAAAGGTAAAAGGACAGACAACAGCTTAGTCTAAGCAGAAAATGCTCAACCAGTCAATAACTTTCAGATCTGAAATCACAAGCTATTCGGGCCAGTATATTCAGGGATCGAATTTGACGGACGCAAACACGTAAAATGCGTGTTGATTTTGTAGACTGTGTTACATAATATGTCAAACGAAAAAAAATGGGTGTAACATTTTTTCGCTTCTTGTTACTGAATATGATCATTCAATAAAAAAACAATATACACACACATCATAATTGATCTTTTTTTGTGTTCGACCATCTTTCCTTTCATTATTGTCGTTATATTCCATCAAACAAATTCCGACATCGGTGAAAAATGTACGTTATTGGTGAATGGCTTTGACGCGACACAAACAGTTTTAATAGTAAAAAAACATGTACCGTTTTGATTTTTCTGGATGATATTTAATGTAAGTATTGAAAAAATGTTTCCTTTTGATGTTATTTACGATATTTTATTGCTTAATGATGAATAAATACTGTTATAAACTCCCGATTTGATTTTCCAAAGGAATCATTGATTTTCAGATTGAAATAGATTTTAATAATGCAGAAATATAAATAATGCCAACATTGCCAACTATATATTTTTAGAGTTCCGGTAGACTGATTGATTAGTGATTATCATTCAGCGGACGTGCGGTCCGTGATCCGAAAAATTGCTATTTCAGTATTTGACATCAATGGGCACTTTTTGACATAGTACTTATGTTTTATAGTTTAATTTACTATCCTTATATTATATAATGCATCTTCAAGAAGGTGTACGCTTGAGTGAGAAAAAACGAGTTTTCAGAGAGAGAGAGAGAGAGAGAAATGGGGTTTAACGTCCACTCGACACAAACTAGGTCATTTCGGGACTAACATATGGTTTAATTTTATTTACATAATTTGCTTGCGCGTAGGGGTCTTTAGCAGTGGGAGGAAACCGGAGGACCCGGAGAAAACCCACGAGGTTGGACAGGCGACCCTAATCCTTGCCACGTACAACCGGGGATTCGAAACCACGCCAGTCGACTCAATGACAGACTTTATGATACAGCGCGCGCACGCTAACCATTCAGCCATCCAACCCCCCACGAGTTTTCAAGGGTAGCTATAAAAATAAATATGCACGGACGAAAGAACACAAACTTTTTTTAATGTTTTTTTGTGCCTCTGCCATATGTAAATATTTTTAATTTAAATAAAATATTATAATTAATATTTTGAAAATTAAAACTAATAAACAACAACTTTTGCAAGTTTGTAAATTTTGATTGTAAATTCAGTACTGTATGCTAAAAATAATATTGACTAGAAATAATAATATTGACTAGAAAGTGTCAAGTGAATACTCCAGGGGTATTCCCAACTTTTTATGCATATTTATTTACATTTAAAAAAAACCCTGATAAACTGAAAGTATTGACATTTTATAAAATATTGCAATATAGTGATTATATCGCAATGTTTTCAGGGATATCACCCAGCTCTAGTGTTGAGGGCAGTTTTCTGTGTTCATTCTTGTGTTTTATTAGCCATTAGCTTTTTAATGAAATTGTAAGGAAGATGTGTACACTCCAATGAATAACATAGCTTGTACATGTAATCCAAAGATAATAAAAGTATTTTCATTAAAGAAACCAGCGGCTGCCAGGCAGGATACGCCCACATTTTTCGAGAGATGGATAGAGAACAAGCTAAGAAGAAAGTGATTTTTCCTACAAACAAGGGCCATAATTCAGGAAATTACAATTAGATATGCGCAAATATCGAAAGGAACCGAGATCTTTGTGTTATAAACTTACATTTCAAGTTTCAACAAAATCGGATAAAAATTGTGACTTCTATAGGGTCCACAACTTTGATATACCCTATTTTTACGCTATTTGAGAACGAAGGGCGGCCATTTGGGCCGATTTACACGAAATTCGAACTCAGTCATGCTTAGGTGATATAATAATACGGTTTTTTAAATCGGATAAAAATTATGACCTCTATAGGGTCCACAAGCTAAAAACGCGATTTTTCATACAATCAGGGGCCATAATTCAAGAAGTTACAGTCCGATATGCGCGAATATCGAAAGGAACCAAGATCTTTGGGTTATAAACTTACATTTCAAGTTTCAACAAAATCAGATTAAAATTGTGACCTCCATAGGGTCCACAACCTTGATATACCATATTTTTACGCTATTTGAGAACGAAGGGCGACCATTTTGTCTGTCAGTTTTGGGCCGATTTTCACGAAATTCGAACTCAGCCGTCCTTAGGGTGTAACGGTGATATAATATACTATTCAAAAAAAGTAGGGGATATTTGATTTTGGGGGCATAATACTAAAATATGCAAATGACTACGAAAAAAGTCACTATAGAACCTAACAGAAGAAACATTTCCAGTTACATGTGACGCCCAAACGCACCAATAGCTACCGCATGGAATGCAGGTGATGCTTGGGATCATCATGGGGGTCCAACCCAAGATTTGCACGAGTCTGACTTTGAATGTTACAGTCATTGTGGCATTGAATTCCAGGGTGGAAACATAAGTTTAATTGTTTTAGTGACCAGAAAACAAATTTTGATATGCGTCGGCTTACCCAAAATGAAAGGTTACGTGCCCTTGGCATGCTACAGATCGGCACAACACAGGCGGTTGTGGCGCGGACGATGAATGTTTCTCAGTCTGTCATAAGCAGGCTATGGTCCAGATACCGTGATACACAATCTGTACAGGACAGACCACGCTCAGGTCGACCAAGGGCGACAACTCAAGCCCAGGATCGATTTATCCGTACCTTGGCCTTGAGAAATCGTGTCATCACAGCAAATCAGATCAGCGCTCGTCTTCAAACAGACACTGGTGTGAGAGTGAGTGGCCAAACGATTCGGAATCGACTGCATAGGGGTCACCTTCACGCCCGACGTCCTCGCGTGATCCCTTGTTTGAGAGATCATCACATTCAGGCAAGACGTCGTTGGTGTAGGGATCGTCAACACTGGGATAATTGACGCTGGAGCAATGTGATGTTTTCAGATGAGTCAAGGTTCACTGTTGATTTTTTGGACAGACGTAGGAGGGTGTGGCGTCGTCGAAACGAGCGCTTCCAAGACGTTAACGTCATCAGACATGATCGATTTGGGGGTGGTTCTGTTATGGTGTGGGGAGGCATCACTGTTGCTGGAAAAACGGCTTTACATGTTGTTGCAGGGTGTGTTACAGGCCAGTACTACCGGGACAACATCTTGGCAGTCCATGTTGTGCCGTTCGCACAACGTCATGGCCGCCGTTTCATCTTCCAGGATGACAACACAAGATGTCACAGGGCCAGGATCGTTACAGGTTACCTCCAACAACAGAACATCACCACATTACCTTGGCCAGCACTGAGTCCCGACCTCTCCCCCATTGAGCATGTCTGGGACATGCTTGGACAGAGGTTACGTCAACGTCAACAACGTCCTGCCAATGTCCAAGAACTTGCTGCTGCGTTGCAACAGGAATGGGACAATCTGGACCAAAATGACCTTAGACGTCTCATTAGGAGTATGCCACGTCGGATCAATGCTTGTTTGGCAAACAGAGGAGGATTTACCCGTTACTGACTTGGTTGTGATGCTGTGGTAACTTTGCTGTTTGACCCCGGGTATCATTTTACCCTTATAATGGTCAGTCTGTGCCTTACTTAGTCTAACGATCATTTGGAATAAATCGATGAATGTGAACTTCATTTCATTTTGTCATTTGTTTCTTCGTCAGTTTCATTAGGTGACTTTAATAACACTTAAAAATCAAATATCCCCTACTTTTTTTTAATAGTATAATACGTTTTTTTAAATCAGATAAAAATTATGACCTCTATAGGGTCCACAAGCTAAAAACGCGTATTTTCGTACAATCAGGGGCCATAATTCAGGAAGTTACGGTCCGATATGCGCAAATATCAAAAGGAACCGAGATCTTTGGGTTAAAACTTACATTTCAAGTTTCAACAAAATCGGATAAAAATTGTGACCTCTATAGGGTCCACAACCTTGATATACCATATTTTTACGCTATTTGAGAACGAACGGCGGCCATTTTGTCTGTCAATTTTGGGCCGATTTTCACGAAATTCGAACTCAGCCGTCCTTAGGGTGTAACGGTGATATAATAATATGTTTTTTTAAATCGGATAAAAATTATGACCTCTATAGGGTCCACAAGCTAAAAACGCGATTTTTCGTACAATCAGGGGCCATAATTCAGGAAGTTACGGTCTGATATGCGCAAATATTGAAAGGAACCGAGATCTTTGGGTTATAAACTTACATATCAATTTTCAACAAAATCGGATAAAAATTGTGACCCTTGATATACCATATTTTTATGCTATTTGAGAACGAACGGCGGCCATTTTGTCTGTCAATTTTGGGCCGATTTTCACGAAATTCGAACTCAGGCGTCCTTAGGGTGTAATGGTGATATAATAATACGTTTTTTTAAATCGGATAAAAATTATGACCTCTATAGGGTCCACAAGCTAAAAACGTGATTTTTCGTACAATCAGGGGCCATAATTCAGGAAGTTACGGTCCGATATGCGCGAATATCGAAAGGAACCGAGATCTTTGGGTTATAACATCAAAGACCTAGACAATGACGACAACGATCCCACGGCCATTAAAGGTAAAAAGAACC